TAAAAAATGAGAAGGCCAGATTAGACTTTGCCAAACAACATCTAACAAAGCCTTCACAGTTCTGGAACAAGATCCTATGGACAGATGAGACCAAGATCAACTTGTACCAGAGTGATGGGAAGAGAAGAGCATGGAGAAGGAAAGGAACTGCTCATGATCCTAAGCATACCACCTCATCAGTGAAGCGTGGTGGTAGTGTCATGGCGTGGGCATGTATGGCTGCCAATGGAACTGGTTCTCTTGTATTTATTGATGATGTGACTGCTGACAAAAGCAGCAGGATGAATTCTAAAGTGTTTCGGGCAATATTATCTGCTCACATTCAGCCAAATGCTGCAGAACTCATTGGACGGCGCTTCACAGTGCAGATGGACAATGACTCAAAGCATACTGCAAAAGCAACCAAAGAGTTTTTGAAGGGACAGAAGTGGAATGTTATGCAATGGCCAAGTCAATCACCTGACCTGAATCCCATTGAGCATGCATTTCACTTGCTGAAGACAAAACTGAAGGGAAAATGCCCCAAGAACAAGCAGGAATGGAAGACAGTTGCAGTAGAGGCCTGGCAGAGCATCACCAGAGATGAAACCCAGCGTCTGGTGATGTCTATGCGTTCCAGACTTCAGGCTGTTTAGTTTAGTTTATTTGATTTGTAGTTTATTTGATTTGTATACCGCCCTACTCCCGAAGGACTCAGGGCGGTGAACAGCCAAACAATAAAATACATAGATACAAAAAATTTAAAAACCAGATAAAATCAAATTAAATCATTTTGGCCCAGACAGATTAAAACAACCCGATAATTTAAAAACAGATTAAAATTTACATATTTAAAAAAGGGAAGAGATTAGGCCAAGCCCGCCTGATAGAATAAAAAGGTCTTCACAGCGCGGCGGAAGGTGCGCAGATCCGGGATCCTCTGTATCTCCGGGGGGAGCTCATTCCAGACGGTAGGTGCCCCCACAGAGAAGGCTCTCCCCCTAGGGGCCGCCAGTCGACACTGTTTGGCTGACGGCACCCGGAGGAGTCCCTCTCTATGAGAGCGTACTGGCCGGTGGGAGGCTATTGGTGGTAGTAGGCGGTCCCGTAGATAACCAGGTCCTAAGCCATGGAGCGCTTTAAAGGTGGTAACCAAAACTTGAAGCGCACCCGGGAGCCAGTGCAGCTCGCGCAGGAGAGGTGTTACATGGGAGCGCCATGTCGCTCCCATTACCACCCGCGCGGCCACACTCTGCGCCAGTTGGAGCCTCCGGGTGCTCCTCAAGGGGAGCCCCATGTAGAGAGCATTGCAATAGTCCAGGTGGGAGATGAGGGCATGAGTGACCGTGCGTAATGAGTCCCGATCCAGAAAGGGACGCAACTGGCGAATCAGGCGAACCTGATGAAAAATCCTCCCGGCCATGGCCGTCAAGTGCTCTTCTAAAGACAGCCGTAAATCCAGGAGGACGCCCAAGTTGCGAGCCCTCTCCGTGGAGGCCAATGATTCGCCCCCAATAGTCACTGATGGCGTCAACTGACTATATTGGGATGTCGGAAACCACAGCCACTCGGTCTTGGATGGGTTGAGCCTGAGCCTGTTCCTCTCCATCCAGATCCGTACGGCCTCCAGGCACCAGGACATCACTTCAAGGGCATCGTTGGGGTGATCCGGGGTGGAGATGTACAGCTGGGTGTCGTCAGCGTACTGATGGTACTCCACCCTGAAACCACGGATGATCTCGCCCAGCGGCTTCACATAAATGTTGAACAGGAGAGGCGAGAGGACCGACCCTTGCAGCACCCCACATATTAGGGGCTTCGGGGTCGACCTCTGTCCCTCTGTCAACACAGACTGCAACCGGTCAGAGAAAAAGGAGGAGAACCATCGCAACACAGTGCCTCCCACCCCTAACTCTTCCAACCGGTGCAGCATGATACCATGGTCGATGGTATCAAAAGCCGCTGAGAGATCTAACAGGACCAGGACAGAGGAACACCCCCTGTCCCGAGCCCTCCAGAGATCATCAACCAACGTGACCAATGCCGTTTCCTTGCTGTACCCGGGCCTGAAGCCCGACTGGAATGGATCCAGATATGTCATTTCATCCAGGTGCTGGGGGAGCTGTTGCGCAACCACACTCTCAACAACCTTCGCCACAAAACGAAGGTTGGAGACCGGACGATAATTTACCAACATTGCCAGGTCCAGGGAAGGCTTCTTGAGGAGAGGCCTCACCACCGCCTCTTTCAAGGCGGCAGGAAAGACACCCTCACCCAACGAAGCATTTATAATCCCCTGGAACCAGCCTCGTGTCACCTCCCGAGAAGCCAGCACTAACCAGGAGGGACACGGGTCCAATAAACAAGTCACGTTCAGTCTACCCAGAATCCTGTCCACGTCCTCAGGGGTCACAGGATCAAACTCATCCCAGATAACATTCTCAGGACCTGCCCCAGTCCCTCCTCCTGAGACTACCCAGTCGGAGTCCAGATCTTCCTGAATCTGAGTGATTTTGTCATACAGATATTGAACAAAATCCTCGGCTCTACCCTCCAAGGGGTCCTCCTGCGCTTCCTGGTGGAGCAGGAAGCGGGTCACCCTAAACAGGGCGGCCGGGCGATTATCTGATGACGCAATAAGAGCAGCAAAATAGCTACATTTCGCTGCTTTTATTGCCACTAGGTAATTCCTAATATGAGATCTTACCAGTGTCCGGTCAGATTCAGAAAGACTGGCCCTCCAACTACTCTCTAGTGTCTTTTCCGGCGCTTCAACTCCTTCAGCTCCTCAGTGAACCAAGGAGCTAAATGAGATCTGCGCCGGGTCAGAGGCTGCAAAGGCACGACCCGGTCCAGAGCTCCAGCGGCCGCCCTATCCCAGGCGGCCACTAGGTCTCCAGTCGAGGCGTGTGCCAGAGCCTCAGGGAATGGCCCAAGCTCCATCTGGAACCTGCCAGGTTCCATCAGGCGCCTGGGGCAGAACCATCTTACCGGCTCCGCCTCCCTGCGGCGGAGTGTAGCGGTTCAAAGGTTGAGACGAAGGAGAGAGTGATCAGACCATGACAAGGGCTCGGTGACTATATCCCCTATCTCGAGATCACTCAACCACTGTCCAGAGACAAAAACCAGATCTAACGTGTTTCCCCCCGTGTGGGTAGGGCCATGAATTAACTGGGTCAGGTCCATGGCTGTCATGGAAGCCATGAACTCCTGAGCCACCTCAGGCTGTGATTGACTGCAAAGGCTGTGATTGACTGCAAAGGTTTTGCAACCAAGTATTAAGAAGGGAAAGTTTGATTTATGATTATTATTCTGTCCCATTACCTTTGGTCCCTTAACAAGTGGGAGGCACATATGCAAACTGCTGTAAGTCCTACACCTGAGTTGGATGTACATACCTTCAAATTAAAGTTGACAGTCTGCAGTTAAAGCACATTGTGTTTGTTTCATTCCAACTCCATTGTGGTGGTGTATAGAGCCAAAGATGTTAGAATTGTGTCGATGTCCCAATATTTCTGGACCTGATTGTATATCAAAGATAATTCATTGCCCTGAAAAGATCTTAAGAAATATATTTAGTGCTGGATGAATTTCAGAAATAGGGGAAAAAAGCACTTGTACAATGAGGGAATCAGTCCTCAACTGTGAGCTAAAGTTGAAAATACAGAAGAATCTACCCTACATAAAATGTGTAAGCTGTGAAAAAACACTTCCTCTGAGGACAGAGAATTAGGCAGCTGGGTGGCAATGACTATTTATTTCCTAGGGATGTGGAAACCTCCACATTGGATCTATATATGAGGGTGCAAAAAAGAACTCTCAAATAGCCATTGTTGGTTCTCAGCTATGTAACAATCAGCAGTGACTAGTGGAGCATGTACCAAACAATTGTCTCTTGGTTAGTTAATGTAGCCCAAAAGAAGCATGGCAAAAGCTACATTAATTGCCCATCTGCTAGTTGAATTCTTCCTCCACACCACTTCATTTAAAAAAAGCCACCCAATTCCCAATAAGACGATGATCCTTATCAATAAAGAGGAAGCTTAGAGAGATGTGCTACCAACAGAGCAGAGTAGGCAATTTAACACTACAAAAGCCCATCACTCTAATATGCACTGTCTATTACCATAAAATTAGACTTACTCTCAGGACCTAGGGTGCTTTCCTGAACCGACTGGCAGGCTTTTTCAGATATTCACTTTTAATCTCTGCCTTTTGGGCAGCCTTTTTTTTTTGTGTGCCCGAAACACAAGACATGGCATCTCTTCAGAGTATCCTTGGCACCTGAAAGAAAATTCCCCAAGCTCTTCCTGGTCTTTAGAAATAGAGCAGTAACATTACCTTTTGTTACATTTATTTGTCTGAAGATAAAGTTGACCTACTATAACCCTGCAACATTTTACTTTCTGGACCATGGGACCCTGTTGTTTCCAAAACACTGCAAGGAAGAGATACGAAGAACTAGTAATTCCTGAACTAATATATATATATATATTATATATATATATATATATTATATATATATATTATATACATGTACATACATAATACATGCATACATACATTATATATATATAATGTATGTATGCATGTATTGATTATGTATGTACATGTATGTATAGAATACATCTATATCCTATATTGTCACATTAAAAAAAAAATAGCTTGCACTTGTTTCTGTGGAATTCTGCCCGTCAGAATGTTTTTGAAACCAAAGGCCAGTAAGGTACCCGGTATCAATCTGATAAAGGCTAACACTTTTACTATAGCTTCACCTTGGAAGGAGATGGGCGACAAATTAATTTAATAAATCAAAAATAAATGAAATCTGTCTAGTTATCTTGAATTAGGATACGAAGCTTCTGGAGGCCGTCACACCAAAGCACAGACATAAAAGTAGGTGAGCCTTTAATGAGGTTTCCCCTCTTCTGGCTTCAAATAGTCCTATTCGGCCCCGCAAATGGAGGCTCCGCGTTCTGCCTTTGGCAACCGGAAGATGCGCTCGCAAGCGGAGGCCCTCCGTTGCTCAATCGAGCTGCCTTCTGCCCTGGGTTAAAATGGCGGCTGCGGCCGCCGCTGCTTAGGGCGCCCGGGAGATTCCCTCGGCTGGACGGCGGACACGGGGTTATCGGAAGGCGGAGGCAGCCGGCCGGGCGGCCAAGATGGCGATGATGGGAGGCGGTTTCTTGAGCATCGTGGAGTACTTGGGGGGAGACGGCGGCTACCGCTGCGGCTATTGCAAGAACGACACCGGCAACTTCTCCCACGGTACGAATCGGACGCGGGAACAGAGCAGAAGCCAGCGCGGGAGAGGCGAGGGAAGCCGAGCCTTTCCATTATTTGCCTTAACGGCGAGTCTTTCGGTTGCAGGGCTATGCCTTTTTTAAACGGTAGGCCGCGCTTAGGGTGAAGGAGAGGACTCGAAGCGGGACAACTTCGGGCCATGTTGGGCTTCAGCCGAAGGTAGAGGCAGGCAGGCAGGCGGCGCTCGGTGCCTCCCACAGCCGGTTTCCGAGCGCCTCTCGAAGTTATCCTTTAAAAACACTTAACGGGGCATGCCACAAGTCGCAAAAGGCCCATCTCTAATTCGAGCCCTTCTCTGCCGTTTAAATGACCAGAGAGGGAATTAAAAACTGAAAGAGGGAATGAAGCACCTGTTCGCTTCTGACAAGGATCCCTTTACACCAGTGTTTTTCAACCTTGGTAGCTTGAAGATGGGTGGACTTCAACTCCCAGAATTCCCCAGCCAGCAGCGCTGGCTGGGGGATTCTGGGAGTTAAAGTCCACCCATCTTCAAGCTTCCAAGGTTGAGAAACACTGCTTTACACGTTATTATCTGATGCTTTTCTGTCTTCAGTTTTTGCCCTCTTCCTCCCAATATAGCCCCTTTCTTGGCTACCAAAGGACAGTTAGTCCTCCACTTACAACCACAACTGAGCCCACACTTTCCGTTGTTAAGTGAGACATTTAAGTGAGTTTTGCCTTGTTTTACGACCTTTCTTGACATCGTTGTTAAGCGAATCGTTGCAGTTGTTAAGTTAGTAACACAACTGTTAAGTGAATTTGGTTTTCCCGTTGACGTTGCTTGTCAGAAGGTCACAAAAGGTGATCACATGACCCCGGGACCCTGACTATTATAAATATGAGTCAGTTGCCAAGCTTCTGCATTTTGATCATAGGGGTGGTGCAACAGTCGTAAGTGTGAAGAATGGTCATAAGTCACTTTTTTTCAGTGGCCGCTGTAACTTCTGTTGTAAGTGGACTATCTGTACTCAGAAAAAGTCTATAAGCACATTTTATTAAAACCCATAACCCTTTGTAAGCCCCAGCACATTTTCTCAGGCGCATGGAAACAGATATAGAATGGGTTGGGCATATATGTTAAATATTTGTTATTATTATTATACACCCACAACAGAGATGGGCAAGAAATCAAGTGCAAATTAATAGAAATGTATAGGATTTCCACCATACTTGGAACTATAAACTAGCCAATCACTATATGCACTCAATCATATTGCATTTATTGCTTCGTTGTTTTGTGCAATCTCCAGTTATTAAAGAGAATAGTAGATTTTATTTCTTTTTAAGAAAAGAAATAGAAATTTGTTGTATGGAGACAAGATAACAGGAGAATAGAGAATAACAGAATAAATAAGCTTATGACAGAGATTTAAAATAATGTAATTGTTTTAAATTAAATTTAAAGGAGTCAAAGGAGGTCTTATGGGAAATACTGTTAAAGTAGATAGGGGATTGAGCTGAACGTCATTGTGGGGATCCACTGACAGCGTCTTCTGTCACAAAAGTGCTCTTCAGATCAGGGTGGATAAAAATCAATAATTTTTTAAAAAAAGAATACAAAAATTGGATTTTTTGATTTAAATTGGATTTTTTTAAAATTTAAATAGGAATTTTTAAATTTTTTATCAAATTTATTTAAATAAAATGCTTTTGGAGTGAAAATCTATCTAAAGATAGTTTTCTATTTAAGATACATTAATAATTTAGTATATTCAGCATGAAATGGAGATAGTTATGTAGCATGAGGCTCTATATTCTGCAATATTTACATTTTTGGTAAACTCATTCAATGAATCCAAGCTCTGCAAGCTGAGATAACATGCCCTGCATTGATACATTTACACAATTTCACAGTAACCATGAGATAAATCATAAAACAAAGTTCAGGAATATTCCTTTATCCCATTGTTTTGCAAATCTATGTACTGTATGATTGTTTGCAGAGAAATGCATCTGTACCAGCAGGCTCTAAGTGTGAGGAGGAAGTGCAAGCAGTAAAAATGAAAGTGAAACCTTCTAAGCAGCTTATAATATTAAAGAGCACCTGTCATTTCAGATCCATCATGGCAGTGCCTGTTAGCGGGCATCCATTCACCTGCTGCCTGCCACATCCCTCACCTTGTTGTGTTACTGCTGCATCACCAGCCATGCCATTAGAATGAATGGGATTGTTGGTGAGTCAACAGTGGATCAGAGGAGGAGCTGCTGTGGGACAGAGATGACAGTTGCTCTTTAAAAATTATAATATCGAGTTGATTTAAATCAATCCTTTTTACTAGTGATTTAAATCGACTTGGTTTAAATCAAATCCACCCTGCTTCAGATATTAAAGCATTAACCCACATTTTGTTCAAGCTGGTTGGCAAATTCTGGGAGTTATAACTGTCACATCTGGGAAGTGCCCTGCTTTAGGAAGGCTGATTTGAGGACTTTTGCAGCATACTAATCCATGGCTTATTTAATAGATCCAATTTCCTGGGTCATCTAACATCCTGGACTATAAATTCACTGGCTGAAATCATAGAACATATTGATCCGATGTATTATATGAAGCCAGACATCATAAAAAGTAATCTAATGAATGAAAATAAGTACAAGATGTTGAGGAAGCCATATATGCTTGTAGCAGACTGTACAGAAGCATTGCTTTAATGTTAATTATGTGTTTTAACTATGAATTTGAAAAGTTTCAATAGTATTTTTAAAAAATCATTTGTGTTATTAAGATGTATGTAGGGAGGTTTCCATAGGGCATTTTTTCATTGTTTGAAGCAAAGTTCTCCCAATATTTTGTATAAATATTTTCTATATGAATATTTGTGCCAGGCATGTGGGCTCATTCACTGACTGTTCAGGACTACCAGGATCTTATAGATCGAGGATGGCGAAGGTAAGCGATTAATTGAATATTCCAGGGCAAAGTCTAGTATAAAAAACATGAGATCATAAGCAGTCAACTATTATTCATGTCCTATAAAATACATAAAATCATTAAGTACCCCCGTATATTTAGAGTCTTAGACATTACTTGAGGTGATAACACCAATTGTCATCTTGCTACATAAAATAATTCTCCAAATATTACCTGCATAATTGCAAGAATTTGCAATTATAAAATGCAGTATAAAATGAGAGTTAAGAAATTATACCACCATGTATTTTAAGTATTCATAGTAATATAAACAATTAACACTCTGGATAGATCCACATGTAAATCTACTGCTTCTTATTTACAGTGTGTTCTAACAGAATGAAGAGGGAATGCTTGATAGATCAACCTGACCCACCTCCACAGGTGTGGGTATTACAAATACAGGGTCTTTTTAATTGCTGGTTAAAACATTTAACCACAACTTGGAGACCCAGGTTCAAGTCTACCTCAGCTATGGAAAATGGACATTCCCTCTGAGCAAAAGAAGTCACAAGATTGTGATTGTGTTAAAATTAGAGGAGAGAATACTTATAGCTGCCTTTAGCTCACGCAAGAATGTTGTAATATAAATCTACCAATAAATAAAATTTGGGGTCTTTTTAAGATATGGTACACTATATGGTACAAAGACACTTTGTATCTTTGGTTATCAGGGAATGAAAGTTTGGAACGAAATCCTATCTAGATTAGTTTAGCACTCTGTATCCTATATTTATTGCTGCATTCATCTTTAATTGCAAGGAATTTAAGTTAAAGGGAGTAAAAATTTGAATATGCTGAACTTGTCACCCGCATCTTTCTCTATATAGTTTGTAAAAGGTCCATTAAACTTACAGGGGCTAAATTGCTAGGGTCTAGCATAATTAGCTAATATTTGTATAGCCATCCAAAATATTATAATACTAGTTATAAAGGTATCAGGAAAATGACAATGAAAAAATTGTTTCCATCAAAGGGATGATGAGATTGGTTAACATTATAAAGTTCAGAAGATTTATATTATGTACGGTATATTAACACAGCAAAGATTTGAATGAATTTTGTAAAACTTATAGATTATATAATTGATTATATAATTTGATTGTTTATATAGAGCTTTTTCTGCTCTTAAAATGTGATATTTATTATATATTTTAGCTTAAGAGCATTCTAAAAATTCATCAAAATATGTTCATCTTTTTTAATTCACAGAAGTGGAAAGTATGTTTATAAGCCCACTATGAATCAGACATGTTGTCCTCAATATACATTAAGGTAAGTCTTGTGCAGTATTTAAATTTTTGTTTCTAATTTAGTGCCTCTGTTATGCAATTGACAGATTCAAATGTCTGTTTAAGTGTTTAGCATGTCCCAGCCTAATTTGCTTTGTAAATGAGAGTCAGCAATTATATAGCAGAGTGGTTTCTAATTAATAATTACCATAGAGTGCTATAAGTAATCATTATAGGAAATGCCTACATTCTTGACTAAAACCTTGCAAGATTTCAAGGACGACTAACTGGAATATTGTTAGATTTGGTGATGTTGTGCGGTTATAACTGTTTTAATTAAGATAAATTTTATTTAAAACTGGGGTTCAGCAGATTTCATGTTAGGACAAGTGGCTGTGTTAGTCTATAGGATGGTTATCAAAGACTTTCTGTACAATGAAAGTTTGCATTAAAATCTTTATAAAGACATATTTATTGTTGACCTAGCTAGTCAAGAAAAAATATTTAATTATTTATCAAATTTATATGCCTTTGAATTGTGAGAGTTACAGAACATTAAATGAATAAAAGCAATGCAAAATAAACTACAGTAAATCAACTACTGTATTAAGTAGCTAATTAAAAAAGTTAGAAATAAAAACTGGTTTAAATGGTGCTCAATCAATCCCCAAGGCTCTCTGGGGATCTTTACTACTTCCCATAGCATCCACATTGAGGGAGCTTGACTAGATATAGGAAGATATATCAGAAAAGTAGCATTTTTGACTCCTTGGGTGGAACTGTCTTTTCCAGCCTCATTTTTTCATACTAATAACTTTTCTTATATTTACTGGTCTTCGTTGAAGATGCTGTACTCTGCCCCTCTTCAACAGTGCGTTGCATTTTGATGCTGAGAGCAGAGGAGGAGTATCTATCATCTTGAAGTATACACGATTTCTAGACTTTTAGAAGGTTTTGGCCTGGATGATTGTGTCTTCAATTACATATTGCATTTCATTTTGGGGAGAGGGAATAAAAAACTTACTGAAAGAATGTGCATATTTCACTGGATTTTAATTCCAGAAAAAATGCAGTTGTTTAAACAGGACTCATAATTTCAAATTATGTACAGGAAATTACTAAATCATATGACATGTATTACTAATAATTATATCCATATAGCTTTTTACATTCTAGAACTAAATTATTAATTAATACAAAATGAAGCATACTTAATTACTTAGGACAAACCTTGACTTCAGTTATTCTTTTTTTCTTTTGAGGTGCCAAGCATTACACTTTCAACCTTCCAAATCACATAAAAAAGTTTTGAAGAAGATGTTGAAATTTTTAATAAAAGGAGAACATTCAAAAGCAGATATCGAAGGTAATTGTTTAAGAGCCCTTTAAGAATTATTTGTTGGTGTATTCTGGAATTTTTTTTTAAAAAGTAGGTAGTTCTAATTGATTCACTAATATAAATTTTTGTATCAGTTTCAAGTTAGAATTTGGGGAAAATTTTATAAATTTATTCCATAATTCTTCTCATTGTTGTGACTGTTTCTTTAATATTTCCATCCATTTGCAGTTTTTATGTGTTCTGTCTCTGTGTCATATCTAAGTGATAGTGTATATACACAAATCCTGATTTATTATGTGCCATTGTTTTCAATTCCTAGCGACCATATAGATAATTTTTTTCTATTCTATTTTTTCTTTTTTGTTGAATATCTTTTATTATTATTTTTATTTATTAAATTTATTTGTTGCCTATCTCGCCATGGAGCTACTCTAGGTAGCCTTTTCCAAGGCCTTCGTGGCTTTCTACCAACTATCTTTGGCATATTTCTTGGCTGCTTGTTCCTTTACTGTTGATGGTTGATCCTAAGCAATTCCTCTGTCCACCCACCCACTGATACACTTCTTGCCAACTATTTTTTAAAAACCTTTGTATCAGAAATATTTCCTAATGTAGAAATTAAGATATCTCCTTATTTTTCCAGTTGGGACTTTAAAAGAACTTTTGCTGCTTCCTGTTTTTAAAAAGAAAATTAGAGTCCACTTTGCTATCTCAGTTGCTGTATTCAAAATGTTGCCATGTTAAGAAGGCATATATATGAATATGTTTGTGGAATTCCACTTTAAAGGTGGCTCCTTTGTTTGTTACATCAGGTTATAGTTCAGTCTACTAATGAAATGTATGAGGTGTCACCTAAATCCATTCTTTGTGTACGTAGCATGGGTGAAATGATTGTACAATTTCTCTTGACAACAGTATATTCTACTTAGAGTCTTGGGGGTCATTTGATACATAAATTTAATTAATTTATTTTGAAAGCTCAATTATTTAAATATTGTGGGATTATCTGTGTATGCTAGAATTGAGGTTAAAAACATAATTTGTTCATGGCCAGGGGTGCCTTTTATCAGGTTCGCCTGATCCGCCAGTTGCGTCCCTTTCTGGATCGGGACGCCTTGCGCACGGTCACTCATGCCCTAGTTACCTCCCGTATGGACTACTGTAATGCTCTCTACATGGGGCTCCCCTTGAAGAGCACCCGGAGGCTCTAACTGGTCCAGAACGTAGCCGCACGGGTGATTATGGGCGCAGCTCGTTACGCCCATGTAACACCTCTCCTACGCGAGCTGCACTGGCTCCCGGTGGTCTTCCGGGTGCGATTCAAGGTGTTAGTTATCACCTTTAAAGCGCTCCATGGCTTAGGACCTGGGTACCTACGAGACCGTCTTTTGCCACCAATAGCCTCTCACCGACCAGTTCGTTCTCACACGGAGGGACTACTCAGGGTACCGTCAGTCAAATTATGTCGACTGGCGACTCCCAGGGGGAGGGCCTTCTCTGTGGGAGCTCCAACCCTTTGGAATGAACTGCCCCCGGAGATACGGAATATCCCTGATCTCCGTGCTTTCCGCCGTGCCCTCAAGACCCTGATGTTCCAACAGGCAGGGCTAAACATACGAACATGTGAATGATTTTTTAAATGTTATCTAATTCTGGGTTTTATTTAACTGACCAGACTAAGTAATAATTTTAATTAGCAATTTTATGATGTTTGTGTGTCTATATTTTTCTTGACTGTACACCGCCTTGAGTCCTACGGGAGAAAGGCGGTATAGAAATATAATAATAAATAAAATGTTAAAGTAGAAATATTAACCTTTTATTGACATGAAGTTTGCATTTTCCCATTTTTTATGTGTGTTCTCTGTATTATTATTTGTAGTAGATCCTGTGGAGTCTCACACCAAAGAGGCTGATGGCTGTAGTTTTTCCTTAAAAAACCCACCTATCAGAAGCCAATCTGAATTGCTACTCCTCAGTACTGATCCCACAGAAGAGGAAGAAATGACAGAAGAAATAAATGTAAAGGAAGTAGACTCCAAAAATTCTGAATTGTGTAATGAAAAATTGAATACCGATTCCAGCAAGCCATTACAGATAGCTCATATTGGACATGTTACTCCTAAGCCTGGTAATGTTTTTGTTTTCTTTTTCTTTAACTCAGCAAACTAGATTTATATCTGTCTGCATTGTATCTCTCTTATGATTCTGAGAACCATCTGAGAAAACCAGAATCAAATAACTGCACAACCCTTTCATTCCAATGATTTTTTTTGCCAAAGTTGTCTAAAAGGACAGGCTTAGAAAATCCTCTTTTCCCAAAAGGATGTATTGACATTGTTATTTTACATGGATCTTTACCCAGTATTAACTAACTTTAATTTATGGTAGCTCGCTCTCAGCCAAACATAAGAAAACGTATTTCATTTTTTAATTCATTTTTTCTCCTTTTTGGGCAGGTTTTTCTTTTTGCCAGATAAAAGGACACTAGAAATAGTGTCTTCTTAGACTAACTTAAGCTCTGCTTAACTAAGTTCTAACATTAAATGTATTATGACACTTTTATTTATCAAGAAGCTTGCTAAAGATAAAGGTAAAAAAAGTTACAGTATAGCTGGCTATCTTCTCCATTTTATTAACTCCTTCATGGTAATGGTACTTGTAAGCTTGTTAGTTCACAATTCTCAGATTTATTTCACTATATTGGATACATAAATTAGCATCTTTGTCTTGGTTCAATAAGTAAACTTTGTGTTTCTTTACTTGTGTTCAGCAGAAGTTCTGCTAAAGCAGTGTTTCTTAACCTCAGCACTTAGAGATGCGTAGAATTCAATTCCAATGCTGTGGGGAATTCTGGGAATTGAGATCTGCATAGCTTTCAAGGCCAAAAATTGAGAATCGCTTTACTAGAGAAAGGAGGAACGTTTTCATTTGCAAAATAATTTTTGAGCCTGCTAAAATATGCCCCAGGAGTGCTTATTTTTTTTTCCCGCTGGCGTAGAAAAACACTGATGTTATTTTTTTTTAGTTCTTCTGATGGCTGTGGTGTTGCTTCTTTCAATTCCCCCTTTTTTTAGGAATAGGGATTTTGTTATTCAACAGTTATGTAGTTCATTTAATCTGGTGTATGTGTTTTTGAACATAAACCTGGCTAATTAATGAAATAACTTAGAGAAGAAAAAAATTTTCATCCTCTATCAAATTTTCAATATAATCTTGTTCATAAGGCCCTTTTTCTGGATGATAGAAGGCAAACTTTCTGTTGCATCTAAGTCACAATCACTATATAGCAGGGGTGAAATGCTCCCGGTTCGGACCGGATCGCCTGATCCAGTAGCGATGGAAGTGGGTGGTTCAGAAACCGGTAGCAAAAATCCCTGCCCCCCATTGCCCAGCTGAGCCGTGCAATCATCAGAGGCTTTTATTTTTATTTTTAAAAGCATTTTTTCTACAACCTCTTTGGCCGAAAAAATGCTTTTAAAAGTAAAAAAAAAAGCCTCTGATGATCGCGCGGCTCAGCTGGGATCATCAGAGGCTTAAAAAAAAAAAAGCTTCTGCCGATTAGGCAAGTCAGCTGGGATCGTCAGAGGCTTTAAAAAAAAAAGAAAGCAAGCCTCTGCTGATCAGGCAAGTCAGCAGGGATCGCCAGAGGCTTTAAAAAAAAAAAAGCCTCTGCCGATCAGGCAAGTCAGCTGGGATCGTCAGAGGCTTTTAAAAGCATTTTTTACAACCTCTTCAATCGAAGAGGTTGTAGAAAAAATGGTTTTAAAAGTAAAAAAAAAAAGTTGGCCACGCCCACTCAGTCATATTACCCCACCACCACCACCAAGCCCCGCCCACAGAACCGGTAGTAACAAATTTCACATTTCATCACTGTTATATAGTCCATTTTTCTGTATAGTTACGTCACTTACAGTAACTTGCAAATATAATAATAAATAAGAGGACACTAGAACATTTACATTTCAATGGATAGGTGGAATCACAATAATCAAAATGTTACAGAAAGCTTAACTTTTTAAAAATAACACTTGCTTTATAGACAGTCATATTAAAAGTAAAAAAATAAATGAATGTGGCTTCCTTCAATATATGCTTTTCCCATTGAATAATATATTGGCATTCTAGGCAGAGGAGCTGACTTGAATAAACCACCATGTCGTAAAGCAAAAGTCATACGGAAGGAACAAAAGTTGCAGAAAAAACTTCAGTGCCAGACACAGCCAGTTTCAGTTGAATCAGGGTCTCGGAGTTTGACCAGTCAGAACTGTTCTCTTAAAACAAACCAACCAAAATCAATTGAAGACTTCATTTTTGCCACCTTACCTCCTGAAGCTCTGCACCAGATAGAGGTATGAAGATATTTCTATTGCTTATGGTAAAGTATTTTTGCCTTGTTTGCTAATGTTAAGCAATATAGTAAACAAAATATGAATTTTTTTTTAAATGCAAAAGCAGGGAACATTACAAAGTTTTCTTGAATTAGAAAAACATAGAGTGTTACTTGTACAGGTAGTCCTCAACTTACAACCACAATTGAGGCCAAAATTTATTTGCTAAGGAAGACAGTTATTAAATTCTGCTCTATTTTACGACCTTTCTTGCCATAGTTGTTAAGTGAATCACTGCAGTTGTTAAGTTAGTAACAAGGTTGTTAAGTGAATTTGGCTTCCCCATTGACTTTGCTTGTCAGAAAGTCTTAAAGATGATCACATGTCCCCAGGACACTGCAACCATCATAAATATGAGTCAGTTGCCAAGCATCAGAATCACATGATCACGGGCATGCTGAATGGTTGTAAATGTGAAAAATGATCATAACTTCGAAAGTCACTAAATGAACTGTTGTAAGTCAAGGACTACCTGCACTTGAAAAGTTTCATGTTCTTTGCAGAAACACTAGGGGGTGCTATGGTTCCATCTAAATGAACAAAGATATTGATGTGTATAACTTTAATGAGAACCTAAAATGCAGCATCCTTGGAACAAAATTATAAAAATGACTGTAGATGTTTAGATTTTTAGAGAGCCGAAGAAAGGAATAGAAGTATATTTTCAACTATTTGATAAAGCCTGGAATGAAACATTTGCCTATGAATGTAGGCATTTTTTTAGGTGATAATGTCCTAGCTCAACTAGATATGTAAATTCTGTGTATTGTATATCCATTACTTTTGAAGCAATTGTTAATTATCCTGTTTATTTAATTAATTTTTGGTCAGGTGCCAAGTTATAGCTCAGAGGCATTTTTTTTTATCGCAGCTGTTTTGTTATTTCTTTGAATGCCAGAAAAACAATGATTGTGGGAGAAGGACTTTCTACTTTCTATTAGTGATTATACCCAAACATAAATATAATACTGGTAAAAAGAGGTAATCTAATTGTAAAGAAAGTACCTAATGACCAGTACCTAATGGAAATTATCCATTTTTACTAACATGGCAGGCATTCATTAATGTTAAATGTGCTTTATTTAAAGAACTTTTTAAAGTGAAGTTTCCTTAGCAGTTATGCCAAAGCAGTAAATGTTCAAAGAACGTAGCTTTTAAGACTCTGGCTTAAAAAGAGTGTCTTTTTAACTTTCAGTCTCAATTTAATTCTTATTTTCTTTTAAAAGATTTATATAGCCACCCATATTGTAACAACAACCATGGGTGGCATTAAAAACATTAAAACTAAGTAACTGCCTCAAACCAAAAATAAACTGACATAAAACTGTACAAAAAGTCATGGCACCTTTACCATATTGAGTGTCCTTTCTTCCATTTTTAGTCTTCTGTTCCTTCCAGGAACTTCTTTCTTGCCACATTATTTTCTGACACAATTCCATTACTGTGTGCTGCTTCCTGGATTTAACCTATTCTTGTTGTTTATTCTGTCTCTGAACCAAAAGGATGCTTAACCTGAGCTTCTTGATTGCTGCCAAGCATTAATGTGACCTCTGTGTTACTTGCTGTGTTGATTTCTATCTTCCAGGGCATTGGGACTCACTGTTCAGTGTAGTACATGGCAACAATAACATGTTTGCTTGATCTTTTGAACCTTCATCATCCATAGCCAGTGCCATGTTTTCCAGTATCAAAACATTGCTTTTGATAGAGTGCAGATAATCCAAAGGGCACATTGGTTAAATTTTTAAAAAAATATATTATTATTATTATTTTTAAAATAATGTTTTAGGAATAGCTGATTCCAAGCATGAGGGGTTTTTTTTTGTGCTTCTAGGCTAACACAAACCTAAGCACATGAATTAGCTCAGGAGTGTCAAACTCATGTCGTCATGGTGGCATCAAGTGACATATCGGGGCTTTCCCCCCCACATTCGCTAAACGAGCCATGGGTTGGGAGTTTGAGAGTCCTGAATTAGCTAATACAGACCTAAACAAATTTATGTTTACTTACCACTGAACTTGGTGACACTTCAGATTAAACATGTTAAGGAATTCACCAATATTATATTTTACTACATTAAGAGTTGAGTAGGTATCCTTAAAATAAATCATCACAAATATAACATACAATTAGATTTAATAAAACCTAAAAAAATCTTTTAAGTGTTTCAAAATAGCTTGTAAATCTTAATTGACCACCAAAGTCCAAACTAATGCTAATACGACTGTGCGTATGTATGTATGCATGAACCTATGTTACACTTACTTTACATTTGAACATCACATGACTGCTTCAAATCAGATTTTGCCTATAGTCTTTTGAAAACATTGAAATGTAGGGCAATGTGATTGGAACTTGGGATTTGAATAGTGAAACAAAAGAAAGCTAAATGTTTGTGAAAAATATGTACACAATATTGGGTTAAAATATGAAGAAGAATTGTTTAAATGTTATCTGTATTGTTTTCAAACTTTTAGATGTCTGATGTATATTATTGCTACAATTGTCTTTAATTCTTTGGAAGGTGAGGCTGGTGCGATCATCTCCACAAAGTTCCCAGTTCAAAGCCACATTTCAGGAGTCTTACCAGGTTTATAAGCGTTACCAGATGATTTACCTCCTGGTAAACCATCCGTCAGTCAGGTCAGGCAGTGTATTGTTTTAGTCTACTCTGAAAATCAAAAGCTATTTTTTAAAAGTATCTTAATCATAGAAATTATGAAAACTATCTCAATTATACTAAATTGAATATCCAGAAAACACAAGTAGCTTTCCAAACTCATGAGTGCCACAAAATACATTTCGAAGGAAAAAGAAAAGCAATAATTAATTTGTCATAAATATTAGTAATGCTTAAGTATAGTACACTGTAGATTTACTAAACAGGGAATCTAAGATTTTCTAAACAGTATTTATGTCACTACTGTGAGCTGGAATTATATTTTAACAACATTAATACAAATGCAGAATGCTACCATTGGAAAGTTTCCTCGGATTAAAGTTGTGATGAAGGTCCTATTCATAAAGTACATTTCACAGTGGAATGAGATGGATAAGGAAATTGTTAGACAAAGTGGGGCAGGAAAGTCTGAAGTATTATTGTTCTTTCTTTTCTTTTATATCTATATCTGTCTGTCTATCTAATCTCAAAGAACTGACTCTGGGTGGATAACAATTAAAAAAACAGCAAAAAAGTCTCTCCCATAAAAATGCAAAAATAAATAGATAGTTGACAGCTGTGATTATAAACAACAACATATCCAACCACCAATACAAATACAGTACAGGTTGTCCTAGACTTATAACATTCATTTAGTGACTGTTCAAAGTCACAACGGCACTGAAAAAAGCGACATGACATTTTTCACACTTATGATCTTTGTAGCATCCCTTTGTGATCAAAATTCCGATGCCTGGCAACAGGTTCATATTTATGACTGTTGCTGTGTCTCAAGGTCACATGATCCCCCTTTGCAAGCTTTTGACAAGCAAAATCAATGGGGAAGCCAGATTCACTTAACAACCGTGTTACTACCTTAACAACTGGAGTGATTCGCTTAACAACTGTGTCAAGGAAGATTGTAAAATGGGGGCAAAACTACTAACAAATGTCTCACTTAACAACAGAAATGTTGGGCTCAATTGTGGTTGTAAGTCGAGGACTACCTTCCAAATATTTCAATAAAACTAACTCATTAGGCTCTAGCAGACATTTCGACCCCAAGTTCAAGCCCATGACTTTGAAAGATTAAACAAGTTGGGGACAATCTGATCTCCAAGACAAGTGCTGTGAAAGGAAAAGCTTTCTGGATCCTACCAGGTAGCACTCTTTCATAGCGTACCTCTTCTGTCAGGGGTAGTCAGGAGAGAAAATCCTGCATACAACCTGTCCCCATATCATGGAGAATTTTATAGATAATCACCAGGATGTTGAATTTGACTCAGAAAGATACTGGAAATAATGTAATGTATGAAGAGCATCTATAACTCTCTACACTGCTGCATTTTGTACCAGTTGCAGCTTCTAGGTATTATTCAAGGGCAGCCTTGTGTAGAATGCATTGGACTAGTCCATCTGAGGTGACTAAGATGTGAGTGATTATTAGGAGAGCCTTCTCATCTACTAAAGGGTGCAATTGGTACACACTTGATTTTTCTGGTTGCCTGCATTTGATTTTTCATTCAAATGCTATTTTGCTAGTTTTTCATGGGTGCTCTAAATGTTTCATAAAAGTCACAAATTAAGCCAGGCAAAGTTTAGTATCTATAGTTAATATTCAGTACCTGTTGTCCCTGAGTTATACCATTCCTTTAGTGGCTGTTCAAAATTAACAAGGGCACTGTAAAAGTGACTTATGACCATCGGTCCTTGCACTTATGCAGCATCTCCGTGGTCGCATGATCAAAATTTGGGTGTTGGCAATTGCAGTGATTTGCTTTACAAACATTACAAAAAGGGTTGTAAAATCAAGCATGACTCAATGAATAATCCCCTTGATTAGCAATGGAAATTCTGATGTTATTGCCACAAATTGAGGACTACCTGTATTCATTCTTAAGAATCCTGCTGGTACTAAATGATGCTGGTTTGCCCATAATGCCATTTATTATTGTGTTTCTTTCGTTCTTTAACTGTTTCTTCTTCTTTCAGTCTTTTCCCCCCCCTCACTTCTCAGTTTTCAGCCCATTTTCATCTCTCTTCTCTTCTCTCATGTGGCAGAATATGTAAATTCAGTACAGACAAAAAAAAACTTTTTAAAAAAGTGACCTAGTAAACATTTTATAGCGTGTGGAAATTATTTGGAAAATGTTAGTGCTTTTTAATGTTAGCTGAATTAAAACCCTTTTAAGGTAATGATTGGTATTGTGTTAATTGTGTGATAGGCGAGGGTCTGCTAGAATGACTGGTTATTAAAGATGTGTCACAGATTATGGATAACTCCTTTGGCATTAAGAGCATTCATTATCAGCTCTTATTTTGGCACATGAATGGAATAATGGCAGAGGTTCAGAAATTACTAGAAATTGGCTCTGATAATTAGAATTTGGACTGCTGCCCCAGTTACATTTCATACTTTTGCTTATAGTTTGTTCATACTGTACAGCTCTACAAATTAAGAAATAAGGATTATGTCTTTTGTTCTGTTCAATTAAGATTGAAACATTCATTTTCCTTTGGAAAAAGAAAAAAATCTTTTTTGAGAAACTTTTTATGATAGCAGCTTTGATTGTTGGAAAATTTCAGATAACCTCAGTATATCAATAGTAACAGACTCCTTAAAGGGAGAATCAATTCATGGAGAAAGTACCCTTTGGTAGATGTTGTTCTGTGTATAAACAGAAGATTTTCCTTAGAACATATTTACCACTCATTGATGCAGGTAGAGAATACTGATCAGATTGAATTCAGATCACAACTTGAAAACGGAAGTATCAAAGTAAACTTCAAATACTAAAACTCTTGGCTTCCTCAGAAGTGTAGATTATTAAATGCCACAAAGTTTTACAGTTTCATCTATGTACAAATTGTATTTTATCATTTCTGTGTAGTATTTATTTACATTTACACAGATATTTGTATGCTGCCTGTTCTGTGGAGACTCAGCATAGACTATTAACATGGTAGAAACAAGTTAGCATGTAAAATGGTGGGGTGGTTTTTTGTGTGTGGTTGATATGGGTTCCTTGTGTGTCTTCTTGGCAGAGGCTTTGAAATGGATCTGAGGAGATGATAGCCTGGCCTACCCTTCAGGAGTATTAGGACAAATTTAAATAAAATATTGTATTTTCCCTTCCTCTGAAGGTGAGGTTAGTACCAGTTTCTTTTGAGGACCCACAGTTCAGTTCATCTTTTACTCAGTCTGCCACTTTATTTGCCAAGTATCAGATGACGATACACAAGGACACTCCTCTTGAATGTGACGAGGACCAGGTACAGTTTATTGCATGTATTTTTTTTGTCCATATTATTGTTATAAATAAACATGAATGGACTTATTTCCAGTCATTCAGATCGATCTAATCTTTCAAAGCAATATTTTTCCCAATCTTGTTTAAACTAAAAACAGGAGCCCAAATAAATCCTGATAAAAGAAAGAGTCTATAGAGCTTCCAAGAGTCAGTCCATCAGTCCCACCTTGTTGGAGCTAATCAGAAATACTTTGGTTAACACCTGGATGGAAGATTGACAGGGAAACCCAGGATTCTAAGTTAGAAAAATAACTCAGAAGGGAACAGTGTCACAGTATTTTCCTTACTGTTACTAATAAAATTTATGGTTGTCTCCATGAAATCATTAGAAGCTGAATTTAAGTGTTCTTTACCTAAAATAATATATGACAATATCTGAATTATTTTTAGCAAAAACATTAATACATGTCATACATCAACAACTGTAAATGTTCAAATCAGTTAAATTAGATATATGCACCCCTGAATCTGCATGCACATGAACTAAAGAAGGAAATAAAACAAATATTCAGATTGCAGCTGGGGTAGATCTATTCAAGAGATTACTTGTGGTCCCATGGAATTAATAGAAATTATTTCTGAATAGTCATAAAGATGATTGAGGAAAATTGTACTGGCCCAGATGGTTAAAGCAAGCAGGTAACTCTGAATAACAATTCTAATTGCAAGAAGTAGAATGGTGATTCCTATACTCTGTGGTTAGATTCAAATTAAATGAGATGCTCTAAGATTTCAATAAAATTTATGCAATTTAAGTTAAGCTAATTTTATATTTCAATGGAATTTAAATGTAACTATATCACTTTTTTAGTAAACTGGAATCTGGAAAAGTAAGTTGCAAGGACATGATAATCCTATGTGGATTTTACGTGTAGCTGAAACAATAAATTATTAAGAAACTTCTACCATGGGTGATAAATAGACCAAAATTGTTCCATATAGGATGTCCTTGGTTAATGACCAAAATTGGGTTTGGAATTGCTGTCACTAAGTGATGTGGTAAAGCATGACACCACATGACTGTGCTGTTTAGCAGTGGAAATTCTGGCACTCCTGGTTGCTGTTAAGCAAATCATTGTGAGTCATTAAGTGAGGACATCATATGATCATCATTTGTGATCTCTTGTCAGCTTCCTCATTGATTTTGCTTGTCGGAAGCCAGCAAAGAAGATTGCAGATGGCAATCACATGTTGCAGAAGCCAGAACTCAGAGGACCCGTTGTGTAAATACCACTTGTTCAGCACCTTGCAAGTTTGATTGCTGAACAAGTATTGAGCGAAGACCACCTGTAATGCACTTATTTTAAGAACTGACAGCTGAAGACCGGTTAGATTGTTTTTCATAGCTGTTTCATATCATTATTAGAAATTAATTGAATTAATAGGAACAACTCCATCCAGTCACCCCTACTCAACCCCAAATAGAGACTATAGGGTTGTAAAGAGGGAGGTAATTGAATTAATAGGAACATTTATAAAGTACACATGAACAGCTACAGTACATCAGAATTTTGAAATAGTTCTACTGTTACGTATCCAAATACCTTCCCTGTTTTCTTAGGCAACCCATGCCTGTTTTAGCTACCCGCATGTTGTCCCTAGTCTTTCTGTTCATTGATCTTGGAATTCATGTACTAAGTGAGTATCAGCAAAAACCTTTATACTGTCCAGGCTCCTTGATCAGATCTATTCTGCAAATAACACAGAGTTTCTCCCAGGTAAACTTCTAGTCTTTATTATAGTATTTTAATGGAATGGAATTTCCTCTGAGATGGTACTGCAAGCAATCCAGGGTTACTGCACAGTGCTTGGTGTTTTTTACAATTATTTACTATTCATGTTTGAAAGGATTGTACTGAATGCTATACATTTTACCAAAAGTAGGTGTATTGTTCTGTGGTTTACTACTTTACTATTCTGAATGGTTCATTAACACCATAGAGATCCTTGGTAGTATTCAAAGAACATTAAGGTCGCACTGCTAAGTGCATCATCTCTGTTGGACCTCTAGATGATGATAATTTACCATAGGCTTCCAAAAGGAAAATGCGTTTAAGGTATTTTGGGGCAAACATTGAAGATTTCCGGTATCTGAAATGAGCCTACCTTTCCTTCTCCGACAAGGGCGCCCACGGCAGTCATACTGGGGTATCGACACGTTCGCTATCCAATAGCTTTCTCCCCGCCCTTTTACTTTTTCAATGAAAATATGATCAAGGAATTAACATTAAAGGAGTTGGGCAGATAGAAAATTTGAATTCTTACAAGTTTGGATTAATATTGTGTACCTTCCTTGCCACCTTTGTTAATTTTAATATTTATGATCTTAACTGTTTCATGTTTTATCTTGCTATTTTTATTATGTTGTAAACTGCCTAGGGCCTAGGCCCGTGATGGTGAACCTATGGTACGTGTGAGCTCAGCTCCGGCCAGCTGATTTTCAGGCCTTCTGGGCCTACCGGAAGCCAAAAAACATGCTGTTTCCGGCCTCCGGAGGGCCTCTGGGGAGCTGGGGAAGGACGTTTTCACCCTCCCCAGGCTCCTAGAAAGGCTCTGAAGCCTGGGGAAAGCAAAAAACGGGCCTACTGGGCCCACTGTGCCATCGCGTGCCAAAAGCGGGGGGAGCAGGGAGGGGGTCATGTGTGCATGCATGGGGGGCAGGGGGTGTAGAATTATGGGTGCGGGCACACATGTGCGTAACCCCCCTGCACATACCTCGCTTTTGGCATGTGATGGCAAAAAGGTTAGCCATCACTGGCCTAGGCAATAAGGGTGTCATATAAATTTAATAAAGATTAATAAAGATATTCCCCTGCAGCTAGACAGGGGAAGTAAGTATGACCTTAATTTTAAATGTTTGTTTCATTCTGGCAAGTCAACTGAAAGTTCTGACACCACCAACCACGTTCGTTCTCAGAAAGCCCGAATGCCTATTAAAGAATACTCTACAATTTGCTACGACTGTTTGTAATTCCATCTTCAGACAAAACTTTAGCTGGTGCATATAAACAGAATATATTTAGTATCCATATTGCTATGTTGTAGTGCTGTTTCTTAATGAGATTTTTAATATGGGATGAAAATTGGGTTCCTGCTTGAGCTAATTATGTGTGCTGAAAACTTGTATCTGATTACAGTTTTTTTTTTAACCTTAAAATAAATTTCTGTCTTCTTTAACTGCATTTGATAATGTAGTGTTACTATTTTGGGCCTACCATGCACAGCTCCTATAATGGGGCTGGTTATTAAGACCCTTTATGGTGTTCCAGGTCTTCTGAAGAAACAGTTTACATCTGCAAGGTAACCAAAGCAAACCAAATGGCAATTGCACCAGTTAGAAAACATTTCCATACATGATCATAAGTTGGTGGGTAGTTCTCTTAAATAGCTACAGCAAACTATTTTATTGCAATACTTACTTAATGGAGCAAACATTTTCACCATTACTTTTGGTATATTTCATAATGACAAGTTTATAGGAAAAAAAAATACTACGTAGCTCAGTTTCCACTGCAAAACTGGACAAGCTCCTTACCTTGAGCTTAGTCAAATATTTGTTTTGGAAGGAAATTTATTTAAAGACCTGAAAAATATTCTCTGCCGAAAATGCTGCACCAGTGTGACTGAACTGGTTATGAATAGTCTTTTCCTTTCTTCATTACTCTACCCCCACCCCCAACATACAGTTGAGTGTTTAAAAAGGGAAATGGAACGTAAAGGAAAAGAAAGTAGTTGGGAATAAGAACAGATTTTTTTTCCCCTTCCCCCTTAGAGCATAAATATCTGAAACAAATCTGCAGTTTAAAACATGCTTTGTGAACTATTAGCAATTGGTCCAGATATTTATTTACTATGCTTTGATTCTGCTAGATTCATTGCAGGTTAATGAAGGTATATAAGATATAATGATATCACAAAACTAGTTAATAGTTACTTAGATAAGTAGTTGTAGTTAAGGAATCTCTCTTTAGGAGACAGATCTAATCATAGTATTAAATCATTTGTGTGCTCTCAAGAACCACAGAACAGTGATTGGCTGTTATAGCTTTCATATAGTTATCTTAATAATAAATAGTGAAAATACTCTTAAAGGAAAGAATATAGTGTATCATCTTGAATATGAACAAATATTTAGGTAATGTCGTAATATTTCTTGACCAATAGAAATCTAGAATTAAAATTTTGGAAGGTCCTACAGTGTGAAAAATATTTCTAATGGAAAAAAATGGTATTTAATTACACTCTTATTTACCAATTGATCTTATGTATAATTAAGGAATTAGCAAGTTTACATAAAAGCCAAACAGGCAGTTCCTATTACAAAAGACTGTTTCTCAGATCTGAATGGATTTTCAGCAAGCTACTTAACTACTTTCAAATTCAGGAGTATAATTAGAATAATGAAACCAACAATTTTCTCCTAAGATTTATAAACAGCTTCAATTTATTCAGTCTTTGGAACAGCTTGGTTGTGAATAAGTGAATGCTACATTGTTTCATTGTCTTCAGGACTGATTTAAGTTTATAGAAGTTTTTCCTTTAATTGCTAAATAGATTGTAAATATTTACTGTTCTTTTGTGGATTAATTATACTTTCTTTGGGTTGAATTAAAAATAGAAAATGGCATCAGAAAAAAAAAATACAGGTAGTCCTCGACTTAATGACCACAATTGAGACCAAGATTTCTGTTATTAAATGAGACATGAATTAAGTGAGTTTTGTCCTGTTTTTATGACCTCAGTTCTTTTTTTTCTTGCCTCAATTGTTAAGTGAACCACTGCAGTTGATAAGTTAATAACCCGGTTCTTAAGTGAATCTGGCTTCCCCATTGACTTTGCTTGGCAGAAAGTTGGGAAAGGTGATCACATGACCCCGAGATATAGCAACAGTCATAAGTATGAACCAGTTCCCAAGCATCTGAATTTTGATCACATGATCATGGGATGCTACAAAGGTTGTAACTGTGAAAAATGGTCCTAAGTAACTTTTTCAGTGGTGTTGTAACTTTGAACAGTCACTAAATGAACTGTTGTAAATCGGGGACTACCTCTACTGTTCATGGGAGAATTTGATTCTTTAAAATCTGTCTTGCAGTGCAATAAAGAATGATGGATGCCATGCACTTGTGTTAGTTCCAACTGATTTCATGGCAATTGGGATTCTTTCAGAAAAAGTGGAGTGACACCGGTACTTTTAGCCATGTTTGTATCTGTCTTTTAGTATATCTTTGGGGGGGGGGGGGTATTTACCTGCATAGTTAGGCTTCCTTTGATTCCCCCCCCCATTTCTTTTGTCTGTTTTGTATCATGACTTTGATAGCTAGTCTTCTTTTGCTTACCTAGTTACAATTTCTGTAGTATGAACAGTTGTGTACCTTGGCTTCATATGATTTCTGCCTTCTGCTCACAGTACTGCCATAAATAAAAGTGAATAAACAAATGGATTTTCCAGATTTTTTAAAAAACCTTTTCTATAAAGACACATCACCATCAATTTATCCGACAATGCGACATTTGAATTGGACATTATTTTGTTATAACAATATATACACTCACATACAAACAGAAAAATTTTAGGTTATTATATGCTATATCCTAATCTTCATGAATGCACATGGCTGCTATAAGAATATTTTGCTGAAGTGGCTTTCCTGAACATATCTGTAACTTTGTTTTCTTTGTGTTCTTATAAATTCTTCAGAACTATTTCTGTACTCAAGTTAAATTTGAAACTTCATCTTTTTTTAAAAAAAATATGTTTCTGAGTGGATTATATTGCTTCTGTTTTACATTGCTTCTGTGTAGAGAGCCACTTTGGCCTAGTGATTAAGGCACCAGGTTTGAAAGCAGGAGACTCAGTTCAAGTTCCCCCTTAGCCATGAAAGCCATCTGGGAGATTTTGGGCCAGTCACTTTCTTTCAGCCCAACCCACCTCACAGGACTGTTGTTGTGGGGGAAATGGGAGGAGGAAGGTATGTTAGACATGTTCACCACCTTATTTGTAAAAGTAATAAAAGTGGGATACAAATAAATAAAAAACAAAGAAAGCAGGATAAATAAGCTATTGAGATCAAGGCAAGAACATTTTAATTAGTAGAGATACCATAGTTATTTAACAACTGTCCACATTTACGGTGGACTTTTAAAGTGCTACTTACTGATATGTTCCATCTCAAAGCTACAACTGCCTAAATATCTTATCTTGACAATAGCCCTTATAGATTTTATATGGTCCTAGTTTGTCCATCTGATTGCCCTACAGCAGGGGTGTCAAAGTCGATTTCATTGAGGTCCGCATCAAGGTTGTGTTTGACCTTGGGGGAGCTAGGTTGGGTGTGGCTAGCTCAATGTCACTTGTGTAGGGGGTGCCTGTGGTGGCCCGAGTGCTCTTCCAGAGAAAACGGGCTCCAGAGCTCTGTTTTCGGCTGCGACAACCTCCTGAAATCTTCTGCCAGCAAAAACAGAGGTCAGGAGAGCCATCTGCGGCCCTCCTAAGCTCCATTTTCACTGGCAGAGGCATTGCGGGCCAGTTCTTTGCTGTTTCAAGGGTGGCCCCATGGGCCAGATCTAAGCACCCCGAGGGCTGAATCCGGCCCCCGGGCCTTGAGTTTGACACCCCTGCTCTACAGTTTTAAATTTGTAATATTAGTATCTTAAAATCTTCTATCCACTGTATGAAATAAAAGCCAGTTGAATGCTTTTAGATGCATTTGTTAAAGTAAAAAAATAAAACATAATCTAGTTCATTATACATGAATCACACAGGCAGGCAACATAGTAACAGTTATAGATTTTCAAGAGCTAAATTTACAAAAATATTTATTTATATATCCGCCTATCTCAACAAGTAACTCTTCCTATTAATATTAAGACATGAACTGTCTCTATTATTGCTATTCTCTGTATTGAAATAAATTGTTGATTTATTCCATCAATTCACACTGTTAATAATAGAAAAGCACTAAGCATTAAGATACTCTTTTCAATAATATTGTATAATAATGCATTGCGAATAATATTAACTTATTTTACTCTATTTGTGTGTTTCATTGTCTCATATTGATCTGACACTTCTGGTGATCTGAACTTCTGATAAATACATCAAATACAGTTTACGCGGTTTCTCTGTGATTCACCACTTGAGGTATGAAATTACTTTTAACACTACATCTTTGTATTATTTAAATACAACATACAGTTTCTTTTCAGTATCTAAAGTTTGCTACTATATTTATAATAGAGAAAATGAAATGTTCTCAGTTCCACTAATTTAGCATTGAATTAATTTTGTTATTGTTGATTTAATTCTTTGAGTTTCACTAGAAAAGGATTGATGAGTTTTATATTTTTGTTTATTTTATGAATACATTACTTAAAATTGAAGTGCACATTCTTTAGCTTGATATTTCTGTCTATCTGTAGACAGTTGATGAGCTTTTTGGTACTTAATAGATCTTCATATACGAAAATCTATTAAGCAGCATGTTTTAACTAAAATATTTATATTTATTTATATAATTTATATGTCATCCATCTTAGTGCCAAACAACTCTGGGCAGCTTACAAATACAGGCTAGTGATATGTTAATCTCACTTCAAAGTTAAGCAACATTTGGGGTTTTTTGTACAATATGTGATATACGTGATTACTAGGAACTGTAAACAGAATTCTATGGCATGTGCAAGTGAGGGAATGTCAAAATGAATATTCCATTGGTGCAATATGAATTTTGCCCCTTTTGCATTTATATCATGAAATCACAAACACATACATAAAAAGTGAAGCTTGTACTGTGATATTGTCAGACTGTGCAGATTCCTCTGATTGGGGAATCTGATCAATGCATTTTCAATAAATTGTATCTACTTGAAAATACTATTCAATATAATCATAAAATAATAATATGACTTCATGCAGCAGCATGACAAAGTAACAACGGTATATTGGAAGATCTGCAAGAAATACAATTTGCCTGTAGCAAGAATTGATGGGACCACAAAACAAGCCAAAGTACCGTATCTTTCAGAGTATAAGATGCACTTCCCCCCCACCAAAAGAGGGTGAAAATTTGGGTGCATCTTATACACCGAATGTATACCCGCCCATGCACCGGCCGCCACCCTTCAGCCATTATCGGCCTCTGCGCGTTGTTTTTTAGACCTGTTCCAGGCTGCAGGGATTGCCACAGACCATCGCTGCCTCTGTGCCTCACGTTTTCAACATCAGAACGCCTGGTTTTTGGCCTCTGTGTATCCCATTTTCGGGCAATTCCAGACAGCAGGGATCAGCGGCGATCTCTGCTGCCTGGAACTGCCTGAAAATGTGATGTGCAGAGGCCAAAAATGGGTGTTCAGAGGCCAAAAACGCAATGCACAGAGGCAGCGATTGGCTATGTGCTCTGGCAATACCCGCAGCCTTGAACAGGTCTGAAACGGAGCGTTCGGAGCAGGGGTGAAATATTCCTGGTTCGGACCGGATCGCCCTATCCCATAGCGATGGTAGCGGGTGGTTCGGAGAACCGGTAGCAAAAATCCCTGTGCCCTCCCCCCCCCCATGCCCAGCTGAGCCGCACTCTCATCAGAGGTTTTTTTTTACTTTTAAAAGCATTTTTTCTACAACCTCTTACGATGAAAAAATGCTTTTAAAAGTGAAAAAAAAAGCCTCTGATGATCACGCGGCTCAGCTGGGATTGTCAGAGGCTTTTCAAAGCATTTTTTTCTGCAACCTCTTGGCTGAAGAGGTGGTTAAAAAAATGCTTTGAAAGGTCTCTGACGATCCCAGCTGAGTTGCCTCATCGTCAGAGAGGCTTTTCAAAGCATTTTTTAAAAAGTCTCTCTGACGATCTCACCTGAGTTGCCTGATCGGCAGAGGCTTTTCAAAGCATTAGAAAAAATGCTTTAAAAAGTTTTTTAAAAGAAAGTTGGCCATGCCCACCCAGTCACATTACCCCCTCCAAACCACGCCAACAGAACCGGTAGTAGCAAATTTTACATTTCACCCCTGGTTCAGAGATTGAACACACAAGGCACAGAGGCCAAAAACACGAGGCACGGAAGCAACGATGGTCTGTGGCAATTCCTGCAGCCTGGAACAGCTGATTGGGGGAATTCCAGGAAGCTGATCCACCCGTCAATCAACTGCTTGTGTTGAATCAGGCTGCAATAATGTGCAGCCTGATTCAGGCTGATCTGGCAGCTGACCTGGCTGTTCATTCTTTGCTGCAAGGACGTGTCAGAGTTTGCAGCAGCAATCACATCCAGAAAGCACATGCAAGTAACTAATTCATCAGGATTCAATAACTTCTCTTTATATATAATATAACCCATGAAGTAAATATACAATACCAAAAGCAGGTTTTCCAATGTGGTAATAAATACAAGCAAAATACAAGCAGAGGAGAGGAGTTTTAGTTTTAGTTTCAGAGCTCAGCACAATATGCAGCTTTAGTATAAAATAGATGAACAGTCTCCTTGTTGCTCACACAGCAAATACTGTTTCCAAATAGCCCTCATTGGCTGACTTAGTTGCTACGCCTATTCATTGACTGACCTTGGTTACCATGTCTTCCAAGTCATGAACTCTCTCACACACTGACGACATTAGCCAGATGAATACCGTAGGCAGAGGCAGAATCTTTTTTTTCTTATTTTCCTTCCCAAAAATTAAGGTTATACGCTAATACAAATGTAGAAAGTGCTCTGGGACTTTAGAATTCAAACAGATAAGCCTAGATATTGGACATTGCAATAGTTGGAGACTGTAGAAGAGAAGAGAAAGAACTGGAGAAAATCACAAAATACGAAGATCTACAAATTTAAGTAGAATGACAGTGGCAAAATAAAGCAAAAAGAGTAGGCACCATGGATGCAATCCAAAACATAAGGAGCATCATTGGCATTGACAAAATCACCATCAGTTAATTGGAAAAAAAGAGCTTTATTTGGAACAGCTTACATCCTGGGACAATACTTTTACACCCTCAAACCACAACATCTGCCTATCCCAGGTCTTTGACACACACACACACACACACACACACACACACACACACACACACACAGTATTTGGCTTCCTGTTCAAGTTTAGTCTCTCTGATCTCTACAGTTAACCCTAACATGGGTTCAATTGATGGCTGATCTTTTGCTGATCTTTTCTTAGCTACCTAATATTCCTATACAACCGTAAGTGGCTAATTTAAAGTTTGGGAATAAATTGAGCTTCTTAAAGCTTCAAGACCTTTACTTATTTTTTCAGATAAAACTGAATAGGTTATATTGGTTGATGACCACAAATGAATTGAGCTGAGTAGCAATTTAATCCATCCCAGGATTCATTGCTATGGAATAAATGGTACAGATGGCTATATGTGATAAATGATAGTGGAATGAATTTACAAGGCAAAGCAAAATGAGAATTCTTAGGGCTGTGGTGAGATTTCTTGTGGACACACATACACACACACACACACACACACACTCTTGTATTAGTTGGAAAAGTAGCTTATATTTATAAAAAGGGAACACTTAGGGGTTTCATTGTATCTACATATTACAGTGATTTAGCTCTCAACTGTTTATAAGAATATAAACATATATTCAGATGGCACAGTCTTTGTATTACTTTATTGGGAATAATCTTTGGGGGCAGAAATGGAATGTAATTTTGCAGATGACCTTCAGGATCTGTCTTTGAAGTCTTTGGAACCATAGTTGCCTGCCATGTTTTGGTAGAAATTCAAAAACATGTACAGAGGTATTTATGGAAAGAGGGGTTCAATATGCTGTTTGCATCTATGTGATCAAAGGTCTACCCATTTTATACATGTATCAAGAAATATGCAAAAAAGAGGTAATGGAGAAAATGCAGAGTCACAGCTGCCATTTTGACTTTCTCAATCCCCCTATGTCTGTCTCTGCCAAAATTTTATTTATTTATTTCCATTTGAATGCTTCTGATTCCAACCAACTCTGGGCAGTTCACAACAATAAACACATAAAAAAGAATATAGAATATTAGCCAAAAAAAAGTGTAAAAATTACACAAAATAATAGCAATCCAGCAACTAAGTAAAACATACCTAAAACATCACAATGTCTGATCCAGCCTAGCTCAATGACTGGATAAACAGCTAGATTAGTAAGGCTTTCCAGAATATCATTACAATGGGAGTTGAGAAGATATTGGGGGACCTCCTTCCAGAGGGTCACATCATAAAAAAAAAAAAGATTTCCCCAAATCCTTAAAATCTTGGGTTAGCCATTCTTCATTATCACTCTACCAACTGCAGTATCTGAACAGCCAAAAATACTAAAGTGCAATTCTCTAGGCATTAAAAGGCTGTCTGGATCTGCTTCGGGGGCAAGTTGTGGACTCTGTTTAAAAAGCATTGTAACTGTTTTTACAATGTTGTGACCAAAATACTTGGAGGCATATACACAGCAAAGAATAAAGAATAAAGAATAAATAAGGAATACATTTTGTTCTGTTTTGCAAAAGATAAATCTGAAATTCACAAAGCCTAAAAGAATCTTATGCTTGAGCACTTTTCTTTTTTTTAAAACACAAATATATAAATCAAAGAAAGCTAACAGTTTCAACATTGTTTTTTGCTTCTTAAAAACAGAGAGCCCAGCCTGGAGAGTTAAAGCTAGTTTAAGGTCAAGGTTCCTGATGACTTAATATCTAGCGGTTAAAATAACTTTTTTTCAGACCTTAAAGAGTTAACTACCACATGAGTATAATGAAATTGTCAAGTTACAGTAATTGCACCAGTAATTTGAGATTTTGCATTTTGAATGAAGCCATGTGTGAAGAGTTTGTTGTTTTCCTTTGCTGGATCTACCCTTACCTTTTTTTTTTTTTTTACATTTCTCCAAGCTATGAACGCTAGTCAGAATCATTAGACTTAATAGGAAAAAAGTTTTTATCACTCATCAAGTAAAACAGCAGATCCCCATTATTTTTCTTCTTTTGTATAGCTATATGCTTGCTTATTTATACTTTGCTCTATGTGTGTTTTTAACTTACGAATCTTGAATTAAATTTTGTGTGGCACTGCTTGCATATGTTTCTGATTAGATGACTAAATAAAAAAGGGTTGCATATTCAAGGCCATAAAACCTTTTGAACAAACTACATATGCCAGTTAAAAAGAGTACATCTCCCTCTTTTTCAGTATAATAAATGTACACATATTCCCAAAAATAAAAGCAGATTTGAAGACTTTGGGATGTACAGCGTCACAATATTAATTTGAGCCTCCTTTATATACATCCTATTTTCTTACTGCATTCCCTGTTAGGATTATTGTTTTTAGTTGTCAGTAACCCAGAAGACTTTGGGACATTGTGGGGAAATCCAAAATAAAAATAATCATTGGAATTATATTTCAACAGATAAGTTTTCTTACCTTTAATGGAATATATTGACTTGTGATCATTTTACATTATGACATTCAGGGTAGTGTCACATACTGTAGCATTGTTTGTCATGTTCAATTGTACCAATTATGTGTTTATGGGACAGGAAAACTCCAAAGTGTTAATTAACTGAAGGGTATTTTTACTGTCCTCCTTTCTTCAATTTAACTGAAAGCTGGTCAAAAATTGTTTTAAACAAATGCATAGTACCTTCTTAACAATTATCAAGTGGCCAATATAATGCTATGTATTGTAGCCTTGGAAGTAAGCTCTTCAGCATTTCTTAGAGCTTGCATCCAAGGTTTAGTTAAGACAGGCTAGAGTTTCACCGTCTGATAGAGATGTAAGCAGACTTTAATAGGAGACCAAAGGACGATAATATCAAAAGAAAGACAGGAGCCTTCTAAGATTAGTGGAAGAAAGGAAAGTGTTGGGAGGATTGAGGACAGTGGCTTGGTAAGATATGTTTATATCAGTGACTAAGTATGGAAGAAAGGGGCTGAGATGATTGTATATATTGTGCGGAATCAGTTGACAGTTGCTGAAGGAAGGGGAAAAAGCTACTTGGTTGTGGGTAAGATGTTGGAATATATTGCACTGGAAACACATAACAGCTTTGCTCTACATGCCCTGTCCAGATTTTATTTTATATGAAACCTCAAATCAGAATGTTCCAAGTTTTAGTTTCCACCAAATTGGCAGACTGAATGGTTGCTCTAGGTTCTGAAACAAACAATTTTCACAAGTCTTAAAAGTTATAGAAAGGCAGATTTCAGTTGAAAGTTAAAGGAAACTTTTTAATGTTAAAAACAGTTGGACAACAGAACCAATTCCCAAGAAAAAGTGGTGAGCTCACCAATAGTTGGATACATTCAAATAAATACTGACCATCCATTTGTTGGACATTCCTTAATTTGGACCATTTTGTTAAGTATGGAGTTAGATTCCATGAGTTGGATTCAATAGCCTAACTGCCTTTAGTAACTCGGTTGGATTACTGCAATGCCCTCTACATGGGGCTGCCCTTGGGGTGCACCAGGAGGCTCCAGCTGGTCCAGAATGCGGCCGCGCGGGTTGTTACGGGAGCTTCCCGCTACTCCCGTGTAACACCTCTCCTGCGCGAGCTGCACTGGCTGCCAGTGGCCCTCTGGATCCGCTTCAAGGTGCTGGTACTTACCTATAAAGCCCTTCATGGCATGGGCCCAGGATACTTGCAGGACCACCTCCTACCGGCCTCCCACCGCCCAGTGCGCTCACATAGGACTGCCATCCTCTGGGTGCCGTCGGCCAGACAATGTCAACCGGCGGTCCCCAGGATGAGGGCGTTCTCTGTGGCCACACTGACCCTCTGGAATGGGTTACCCACCGGACTCCGGATGGCCCCTGACCTCCGCGCTTTCCGCGCTGAGCTGAAGACATGGCTTTTTCAGCGAATTCCCTGATCTGCCGCGGGGTTTTTAATTGTCTGGGGATTTTAAATTGACTAATTTTAGTATTTGGATTGTTGTGTTGTTTTTATTTTGTGAGCTGCCCCAGTCCTACAGGAGAAGGGCAGCATATAAATTTGAAAAATAAATAAATAAATAACTTAATCAGATATAATTCAAATTATAAAGATATAGCCTGATTTAATAAGTAAGGAATTTTTGGGTAGAATAGTATCTTAAGTGTAATTGGATTTTTAAAAGAATGGCTTGCTGATGATTCTTAAAGGCTCTCTAAAGACAGTGACTCTCTGCAATAAGTAATAGTGGAGGGATAGAGGACTTCAAAGGGGAACTTGAGTTTTTTTATTCTCATTGTGTCTTAGTTGGAGGTCTGCAAGAAGCAAGAATCTGGAGAAAAGGATTTCATATGTTTGTGCCTAAAAATCCCCAGGGGAACTGGAACTAGTACAGTTGTCAGGGTTCATTTAGTCATGTGAGGGATCATTTATTTCTTTTATGTGCTGTTGGCTCAGTCGTGGCTGTTTTTTTTTTAATCTGTTCCAATTCTGCAATTCTTACCTCTTTGTTTCCTCAGACTACTTACAGATTTCTGAGTGTTAGCTTTGGGGCAGATCTCAACCTTATGGAACTTGTTACAACCAAATTCTCTCCAATCCTTATTTTGTTACCTTTTATTTTTAAAAAAGCATCATTTTTCTACTCTAGTAATGGGCACTATATCTAGCACTGTATAATCCAAGACAATTTAGATCTGGTAACCCTGGTTAAAATTGGAGCCGTCTACTTAAAAGTTTATTCTGATGGAAGAGAGATATGTTATTCTGATACACCCAGATTCTAGGTAAAGGGGCATCTCTTCATATGACAACAGTGGTAGTAGGATAACTGTCTAAGTGAAGAAGAGCCACATTCAGATACCCCAGACTAGAGGGCGGTGAGTGTGATTCTCAGGAGTTGGCTGATGGCTTAGTGTAGGCATCCCTGCAACTGGTTTAATTGGCATAATAAACTAAAAGATTATTGTGAACACATTTTCCTGGATTGCAAGCTGCTTTGGAATAAACACATATTTTCCTGGAATGCATTTTTAAGGAGGAGCCAGTAGGTACAACAAGTATATCCATATATCCCCTGAAGTATGGTTTCTGAAAAACTTCTGATCATTATTTGGTGAGGAAGCTAAGAAAATTCAAATTATTTGAATATACTTGCTGGATTAATTAAATCCAATTAATTAAATGAGCATACTGATTTTTCAACATTGGTCCAATCACAGTACACTCAAAACAATTTAGATAAGCGTAATTATAATATAAATAGGATTTACAATGTTAGACTCATCAAGTCCATTTAAGCCAGGGGTGTCAAACTCCAGGCCCGTGAGCCAATCCATCCCATGGGGTGCTTAAATCTGGCCCGTGGGGCCAGCCTGGAAATAGTAAAGGACCGGCCAGTGGAGCCTCTGGCAGTCAAAATGGAGCGGGGGGGGGAATGTGTGCGACTCCCCCGTGCTCCCTTTTTGGCCTGAGCGGCCTCCTGCAGCACTCTGCCGGTCAAAACGCAGGAGGCCGTCTGCTGCAGGAGGCTGTCCAGGCTGAAAATGGGGTATGGGGGGGAGGCATTTTTGTTGGCAGGGTGCTGCAGGAGACATCCATTCCATCTCCCCCCTGGCCGGCCCGTGAAGAACTACAGTGCTGATTTGGCCCTCACAGAAATCCAGTTTGACACCCCTGATTTAAGCCATTAAACCCAACCTTAATACATTTGTGAGATAAACTTATTAACTGCAGATGATTATTCAAGGTGTTTGCCTTGAATGTTAATTTTTTAAAACAAACAAGAAGTAGCAAAAAAAGGGTCAGAAATTGATTCACATACTGCACTACTACTGTAGGTTTTTGTGAAAGAACTCACTGTAGCCTTTGTTATTGATTAGGAGTTTTTTTCTCAATATGTATTTATGTGTTTTTCAGAATATTTGCCTTTTTAAGTATCATTGTTTTCTTGTCTGATAAAACTTTTTTCCTCCTACTTGCTAACACCAATTTTAAAAAGTCGTACTGAATAAAAACAAGATCTGTCTATCATGATCTTAATTTCCTAGGCTGAACATTTACCAAATGGTCCAGATTGTGGCTATGGTTCTTTCCACCAGCAATATTGGCTTGAGGGAAAACTACTTGCTGTTGGTGTAATTGACATTCTTCCGAAGTGTGTATCCTCCGTGTATCTCTACTATGATCCTGATTTTTCTTCTCTGTCTTTGGGTGTCTACTCTGCTTTAAGGTAAGGAGATATGTACAAGACACTTGTCATATTTTTGCACTTAAAAGTATTCAAGTCTAATCTAATGATATTTCTAATACAGGTAGTCTTCATTTTATGACCACAATCAGCAAATCAATTGCTAAGTGATGTAGTCGCAAAGTGGAAAAATCATGTCCTAGTGACTGTGCTTACAGATTTATTTCAGTTTTCCTTTGTTTTAGAGTGACAGAAGGATACAATCTCAGGCAGCTGAATGAGCCTAAATGGCAGGGAAGGTTTCTTGAATTCAACTAATAGCAAACTGGGTAAAAGGGCACATGTTATAACACTTTTTCCCTAGTCCCCTAGCCTTTGGAATGCTCATCCAGCACAAAATTAGAGAGCAAGGGGAAAAAAATAATGTTTTTGTATTTACTTTTATTGGACAGGAAAGGATTACAAGAGAGTAAGCAGGGCATAGTGTAAAGTGAGGAATACACATTAAGAGGAATGTGCTGGTCCTGTTTGTTTGCCTAGTGCAGGGGTGTCAAACTCAGCTAAATTTAAAACTTCCTAAACTTTAAATGGCTAGGTCTAAAAAAAGAATAACTAAAAGAAACCCCAATTAACTATTTTTTTTAAGCTCTCAAAGGGGAAAAAAACTTACCCAATAGAACAGGGGTCTCCAACCTTGGCAACTTTAAGACTTGTAGACTTCAACTCCCAGAATTCCTCAGATAGTTTTGCTTTGCTGGCTGAGGAATTCTGGGAGTTGAAGTCCACAACTCCCTGCCTGCTTGATTGCAGGCAGGGAGATTCAGTTGCTTGCTGATGCAATGGATTGCAGAGATTACAGCAAGGAGTTGCGACCAGCAGCTAAGGTAACCAAGCTGAGGGAGGGGGGGGGGGGATTTTTGCTACCGATTAGCAGGCAACTCAGCTGGGATTGTCAGAGCTTGGCTCGTCAGAGCCATTTAAAAGAAAAAAAAGGCTCTGATGATCGCGCGGCTCAGCTGGGCATGTGGGGCGGGGGCAGGGATTTTTGTTACCGGTTCTCCGAACTGCCTACCGCCATCGCTACCTACTCGCCCGAGCCGGTCCAAACCGGGAGCATTTCACCCCTGGTTCATTCCCATTTCTGAGTGTTGCTGGCAATAAAATCTGTAATAAATAGTAATATTGATATGATAGCTATTGATTTCTTACATTTGAATACTATAAGAAGTTGTAAATAGTACAATAACTCAGATTGCATAGTTAAAAGCTATTATGTGAATTTGATTTGTAATATTCAGAATATATGTGAAACATTTACTCATTCCTTGCTGTGAATTTTAGTTTGGGTCTTGGGCTGAATTTATGCCAAATCTGTATGTAAATTTCTCTTAATTTTAAACATGAAGCACAATAGTGTATTACCAAAGAACAATAATCTACAACAGATTAGATATTTATATCTTCTAATTTAAGTAGTCAGTTGGAATCGGTATGAAAAATCCACTTTTTTCTATTCTTTGTATCTAATAAACATAGGTATGGAAGGGAAATACTTGTTTTTTTAGTTCTGTAGTTTTCTAAACTTTTGTTTGAAAACTGTGTACAGAATTGCTAAGACCCTCAGGATGAAAAGCTAGAGAGCCTGCTCTCCTTTCTATGAATCCCTCTGGGATCTTATGTATGAGTCATGCCTTTTCTTTGGGAATGTGGTTGGTAGTTCCTGCTACCACTTAAATTTAAGGAGGCTTCACCTTATGTCCATCCTGTAATCTTAATGGGTAAAAAAAATTAAGGTTCTCATACACAATGCTGTCTCTTAAGGAGATTAAAAATTCAAAACCAAATAATGTCAACGTATCTGCTTCTGACTGTGTAGCATCAAACCTCTTTTAAAAACCTCCCGAATTACTCCCCCCCCCCCTTTGGACTTTAATTATAAAAATTTAAATATTCAGTGGAGAGGAACATAAATTACAGAGTTTAGCAGATCACAGTATATAGCAGCTCAGAAATTACAATGGAGACAAGAGAAGAGCAGGCAGTAGAGATCTAATCTGCTACAGATGAAGAGCTAGTTTACCTGGAATATTATAGATCAGAAGAAGAGAGTTCAGAACGTTACAAGAAGATTCTGAGAAAAATATATATATATCTTCTTACATCATATTACCTATAATATGGATGAAATTGAAATTATATATTCCTTAATTTATATAGAGAATTTAAATATAAAGAGACTTGCATAGTGTTGAAAACAGAAATAAAAAAACCTAGCAAAATTCCTGGTTTTGTATGTTAGACTTTCTGAACAATGATCTTTTCCTTTAGGGTTCTTGGACTTCTCCAGCTTCTTGGAGGTTCCATACTTTTCTCAGAAGATCTAATATTGAAAACCTCTGTTTCTTATTCAACCTCTTTCCAGAATTTTCTCTTTTGTTTTAAACATATCAAGGGTTTTTTTTCCCCTCCAGCAGAGGGTGAGGCTAGATAATCTGAGTCAGTCTGTGATAAAGAACTGTATTTCATGGGAATATGATTGAGCCTTCGATCTTATATTCAGGAACATTTATAACACCCCTATAAAATGTTTATCATCTTGCCAGCTGATTCTTATTTCCATTAGGAGATACCACTTATATCAACTTACTTTCATAATCGCTCCAGTTCTCCATTTCTTTATAGTGCCTGTATGAAGATGTTAGATTCTTAACCCTTATGTTTGTTGGAACAATTTAGATGAAGGTTAGAAAGCTAAATGGCTTTCTAGTACAAAGAGGACAGAATTTGGTAATTTGTTCTGGTCCGCCAGCGATCTGCGGAACTGGCAGCAGAGTCAGACAGTGAGGAGGCTGGGGAGGAACATGGGCCAGTCCTGGAGTCTGAAGCCTGAAGGCTTGGACGAGGGCCCTGCGTCGAAGGCAGAGAAAAGGCCATCTGGGATGTACATGCTGCCTCCGGAGCCTCCAGAGTCGGACCTCAGCGAGGCACTGTTCCAAGTGCGTGCATGCGCAGAGCTGCCAGAAGGCAAGAACAGTTAAGACAAAAGGGACGACTTGGGAGTAGGGCTTGGAGATGATTGGCCCCTCCCATAAGACATAAAGGAGGAGCAAAGGCACATGAGCCTTTGCAGGAAGCAATGTTGTTAATTCTGTTCAGTTTAAAGTCTGAAGCTCTGGATTCTGGACTCCGTGTGGCTTTGCCAATTAGGTCTTTGGCAGCGTGTTAAGGGAGATAAAAGTGACTGATTATCAGCCTTATCCCGAAGGACTCTTTACAATTATTTGGGACTCATCTGTGAATGAACAGAATTCACAGCTGTTGCAATAAAAGAAGTTTTTGGGACTAATGTGTTTTACTGACTCAGGAAGTCAGAACACAATTGTGCATCTTTTGTCCTTTTAAGCAGAATAAAAGCAGCTCTCTGCAAGTGACTAATGTAATTGGCAAAACTGCAGAATGGCCTCCAGGTTGAATAAGAAAAAAAGGAAAAACTGCACATTTTTCATCAAATAAAAGGATGAAAAATAAGTTAATACAGACAATAGTATTTGCTGCTCATATGCAGATATTTGGATACATTTCTGTAACTAACTAAAAAGTTCTTTAAAATCATCTGATTTGATTTAAAAAAATATCTGAAGTTGCATTTAAATTATTTAAATCTTATTGAATACAAGGATTGGGTTAAACATCCATAGTTTTATGAATAAAAGTAACTTTTATTGATATTTTATTTTTTAAACTTTCAAAAGTTTCCTTTTTTTTTTTAATTTGATTTTTATTATAACATATAGTGATACATTCGGTACATTGTCGGTTCATTGGTGCAATTATATACATATATACATCTACATGCATTATTACTTGTCTTTTATTTGATATTGTTTCTTAAAGCTAGATTTAATTTCAAAACACTTAAAAATAATAGTGCTCAACTCTCTAAGACTAAATATAATACTATTCATATAGATTTTGTTAATTAATTAATATTTAATCTCTATTTCCTTCTTTATTTCTTCATACTCTGGTTTCTCTTCAGATCGTATAAATCTTTCGCCTTTTACTTTCAAAAGTTTCCTATTAATTACTTCACATTTGAGTTTCATATTAACATCTTGCCAGGACAACATGCAAAATTGTTTTTTTTTTTAAAGTAAAATATTTGGGATTTTTAATGTAGTATCCCTTACTTAAATGTAATAAGTTCTTAACAGAAAGAAAAAATTAGGTCGTTTTATTTTATTATGTGTAAGTTTATTGTAGATTTATTTGTATTTCTGAACACAGCCTGGTATTATATTTTGATACATTTATCAAAATGTATTTTTATTTTACAGGGAAATAGCTTTTACCAGGCAACTTCATGAAAAGGCCTCTGATCTAAGTTATTATTACATGGGATTTTATATTTATTCATGTCCTAAAATGCGATACAAGGTAAGATACAATTTTAATTATTAGAATTCAGCCTGATATTTGATTTTTCAATACAATTAGGACAGATTTGTATATTCTCAATCTTTCCTGCTTTGCTTGGTCAAAAAGAGAGAACTACTGTCTACCTAGTTATCTATAAATTGGCTCGTGCTGGATAAATGGAGAATAAAGACTTTATGTTTCCCAAATAGTTGTCCCATGCCACCTATCAAACTTTTCTTTTTTTTACATGAGGGAATTTTCAAAACAGATCATAATAATGGATAAGGATATCCTATTCAAATGAAAAAGAAAAAGAAATCATGAACACCATATATATTCAGCATACTTAAAATAATTATTTGGATTCTGGATTTGATAGGTCTTCAGCCTAATCTAACAGGGACATGTTTTTATAAGTAACATTTGAATGTTGAATAAAGTAAGGATGGCAATTACATTATTTTATTAGTGTAGACTCTATTTTCTTTCACAGATCCTAGGGTTAATGTCCTTTGAGAGCTCTTTGGTTTGGCTAAAAAAACCCACATCCTTTTAGTGTTAACTGAGCTTTTCTTCAGTTGCTAAAATACAGTGCTGTTTAAAAATGGGTTAGCATCTGCTGAGCAAGACAGAATATTGCCCTGACAAAATGGATTTAAGTGGCTCTCTATTCTTTCCATCTACAAATATATTTTTATGTAATTGTTGTAAAGATCTGATGACCCAGTTTTTGGCAAATATTGTTAGTTGGAATACAGTCTTCCTAGTTTTGATTTCCATGAGTCTACTGAAATTATTAAAACTAATAAAATGTTGGTGAGGTATTGAAACATAGAGTATATTAGTTAAGTCCAAGGGATTTCTGTTGGATTCCCTACTCTGCAGGAAGATGCTTTTAGTAGATTAAACTATTTATCTAACTAGCTCCACATTGCCTACTCTGTTCTTTAATTCACATATTCATAAATACTCTTCCCAAGTTTTTTTAAAACATATTTATGACATACCGTGCTAGTTCTCAATCTAATTCAGGAATACAAATTTTTCTTTAGTGTCCTTTTCTCCTCTAAGTTTTACTTTGTTAATACAATTCAATAGATTCAAAGTATTTTATAAAACATAAATTACTTTCTTGTCCTTTCGAAGAACAAATTTTGGGAATATAAATATCTTGTATTAATAGAAATAATCCATAGCTCTGTAATAGAGAAGTAGGCAGATAACAGCACCAAGTAACTTACACTTTTGTTTATTTACTTAGAATAGTTATAAAGCATCTTTTGAAAATTAAAAGCCATTTTGAGGTCTTTAAATTGGATCTCTGGACAATGACAGCACAGCATAACACCGACCAGACTAGATTTTTATGGTCAAGGAATTTTCCAAGGTTTATTAGCATTTTGTACATTTTCATGCAAATACATTTCAGTTTCATTCCCAGTATTGCTTTCGTTTAACCAACTGTTTATCTTTTAAAAAACTTTTACATTAGGTTTGTATTTTTAGAACAAATTATAGCTTACATGAATATAGTAGAATTAAAATTTTTAAAAATATATTTCAGCATTCTTAAAAAATGATATCTCTTCAACAGAACGATTTAAATGAGCTTAATTTAGAGTTGTAGAAAGACAATAGAAAATGTAATTAGTTTTAACAGATAAACCCAGGTTACTGTCATGAGATAGCTTGATATCAGATGGAGAGAATGGATTCCAAAAGATTAATGAAGAAATAAAAGGCCAATTCATCTGTGATTAATTATTATATTACTTTGGATAGGCTGTTGTCATAAGCAGAATGTACTTTTTGATAGTGCTTGAGAACCAATTTCGGTGATTAGAGCTTTGGGAGATTCAGCAGCTTGAAAGGTTGTACAAAGGAATTTTAGCAGTTTTAATCTCTTGAGCCCTGGCTCCTTCATAGTTCCATGAGTGTGGAATTTAGTTAACCTTTTTCAGTAAATTAGCTTTGCTGCCTAAGCAGAAATGGAAAACCACAGCAGAACAGAATCCATACAGGATGTTGTTTACCTACGATCTTCTGCTCAAACCTACAATTGTGAGCTTGCCATTGTAACACTGAAAAGATTGCAAATCTTTTGCAAGCCCCAACACAATACAGCTTTCACTTTGTATCTTCCTGAAGGATTATTTGGTCAGCATAATTGCATTTTATATTTTAGCTGATTTAAGATGAAAATCAACTGCTTGGCTGATACACTGATACGTACTAGCAGTGCCAGAGTCCTGTGGCAGCAATGACCTATTATTGGACTGCACAAACATTTTTTAAATGAAAAACTACAATAATTGTTTTGAAATTGTTCTTGAATCACACAATTGGGTGGGTGAGAAGACTCAAATATACAACTATTCTGTTGTACAACCCAAACCTTACAGACTTAAAAATTACAATTATAAAAAATAAAGTCTTAAATTACAGCAAAGGAACAATATCCCAGTGTCCAACTAACTGATAATCTGGGTGTGGAGAAAGTGAGTGTGGCCCTGTGGTCTGCTAGAAGTCATTGTTTTGAAAAGGAAATTATTTTGGCAATGCAATCAAGTCCGTGTTTTGTAATATTTCTCGCATGCATTTTTAGTTAAAATGGCTATGATCTGTCCAACCGATCATAGAGAGAATATAAATTGAATAAATAGGTAAGCAAATTGTAATCCCAAAGGTGCTGTTCGAAAGGCAACCGGACTCTCTTGTTTTTTTCCCTTAAAAACGTTAAGCTTCTCATCCAAAAAGCTTCTTGGATTGGAAGTGAAATGCTTTCAAGGAAAAACACCAAGAAAGTCCTGTTGCCTTTTCAATGGCACCTCGAGACAAGCATGAGCTGGATGACTGAGAATCTCCATAGACAAACAAACTGCAGGGTAAGTGCAGTAGAAATTTTGCCTGACCCTTAAACTGACATGGCTTGAATTCTTTTACATATGAAGAGTAAATGAAAAGTGATGCTTCCACCACATAACTTTAGATACAATTGGCATATTTTAATACATGAACCAGGAAAATAATCCTGAAAGTATCCCTTTTTGTTACCTGTATTTACTTATCATAATCTTTACCATTAATTATACACTTCTGTGAATCACAGATAAGCTTCTAAAGCCTGAATGAGAAAACTTTGTCTCTTCAATCAGATCCTGAAAGTCCTTTTTGCTTATTTGAGATAAACATATGCCCTCTCCAAAGTATTCCTTTTCTTTTGAGAAAAGATGGGAAGTTGCATGTAGTAGAATGTAAATTGCACGGAATGACTGCAGTTGTCTGTTAGAATACATGTGAGATATAGTGTTGCCACGTGGCAGCGAAATTTCCTCTTGTGCTACTGATCACAGCTTATTTTTATTTTGAGTGTTGCAGTCTAACAGTTAATAGTGATGCCAGGTTTAATTCCATGCAAATAACACCATATATCTATAAAAATCCTATAATGATAACATTTCTTGCCAAAGCCAGACCATTGCATATTTTTTCCTCAAATTTATTTGTTTGTTTGTTTGTTTAAAACATTGATGTAGCCTCCCATCTTCTAATCAACATTGAGTGGCTCCCAATCAAAGTTAAAACAACATACAAAACCATATTAAAACTATAAAACTAAACAGAAACTGCCATGCCAAACTCTCTTCCCAAAGGACTGTGCTGCGGTGGCTGGCCATGATGCAAACCTTGAGGCAGCACTAGAGAGTGGCAGCCCCAGTGCCGCTTGGATTGAAGTAGAGGTTGGGGTAGAAGCAGCCGGTTGAGACTGCTGTGGATGGGTGGAGTTCAAGAGGAGTCAGTCCCGTACTTTACTAAAGCTTGGATCTGGGAGGACTAGGTCAGAATTGATTTGGATTGGGCTGGGTCCCTACCTAGCCAACTGATGGTGATTCGGCTAACAATGGCAACTGGGACTGCCAGGATTGCTGTTGCTAAGCAGTATGGTCACATGAATTGTGCTTGCATCACTTCTGGGGCGGCGGGGGGGAATGTAATATATAGTGTTTTGGACTAGGACTATAGAGATCTAGATTTATGGTCAATTTCAGGCATGGAAGCCTAGTGGGTCATTCTGGATCATTCATTATCTTTTAGTCCAACTTATCTATGCAGTTGCTTTTGGTTTAATTGTGGAAATATACATAACGCATCTTAATGCCCCTGGGAAATATCTATGCAGTATGTATATCTATAGGGGCAAAGATCTTGAAATCTGATTCTTGCTTACATGAAAAATATGTGGCCATGCTATTATTCATGTTTTATATGTGAATGTCCTGAGGGTAATATCACTTAAGATAAAAAATAAAGTTAATTGAGAGTGTTTGTATGATGAATATTTCTGGTCTGTGAATGCCTGAACCAAATTCTTGGCAGCTTTGTGTAATATAATACCAAGTATTAGGTCAAGATTGCTTAAGATGGCTTGTTTGGTTGACCTGGAATTATAGGATGAAAACTTCAGTTTTCTGACATTTATGAGTAGAATCTGCACTATCTTAAGATAGCTGTAAAGAAGACAGAAGTATTTGTCTTCCGTAAAAATATGTCAACATGTACTTCTGATTAGCTTCGGAATGTAAATGCTGTTTCTATTTTTTTCGGCAGACAATTCCTGTTTAGGTCAGTTTGGACACATCCTTATAAAAGGTTATACAATTTAGCAAACATCTTTCATTTCAAATGTGTGATATTTTCTTAATAAGATAACATAAAACATAGAAATAATAAATTGGCCTTTTATTTTGACCACTTAAATATTATTTATTTCAAAGTTTGAATTCCAGGGCAATTGAGAGAAAAGCAAAGGAAGTTAACAGTCCCTGACTTGTTATGGGAAATTTGACTGCTGCTGTCAAAAAGAGAGCTGCCAGAAAGATTAATTCCAGATTCACATAACATGCTAGAAATGAACTATTCTAGAATGACACACTAGGGAGACATTTATCATGACTAATTCATGCCCTACTAAACTAAGCTAATCAAGGCAAAATGCAAAGAAGTTAGTTGTGAATTAT